ATATATATATATATATATATATATATATATATATATATATATATATATATATATATATATATATATGTATATATATGTATATGTATATATATATATATATATATATATATATATATATATATATATATATATATATATATATACATGTATATATATGTGTATGTATATATATATGTGTGTGTGTGTGTGTGTGTGTGTGTGTGTGTGTGTGTGTGTGTGTGTGTGTGTGTGTGTGTGTGTGTGTGTGTGTGTGTGTGTGTGAGTGTGTAGATACGTGTGTGTTTTCTTTTCATCATTATCAATGTCCGTATTGTCATAGTCGCTATCATTTCCATTTTCATCACTCCTAATTATTAGTACTGGCATTACCATCACATATTTCATTCATGATAGCGATTACTTTTGTATCATAGAGTCATTTTTTAAAGATATCGTCTTTTCTGTATTTATTTCTGATGCTTTTCTCGCCTTTGCCGTATCATCCATCACACTTTTTTTTAACTATATAATTTTCTAAATCTCTCAGTGACATCATCCTCAATCAGCAATTTATGAATAAAGTTTTCCTTTTCCAAAAGACCAATTTCTGCGCCAGCATTTCGTCACACGGGAGAGGCATCCCTTCTTCACGCTCCTCGGTTCTTGCTTCATTCTCTTCTTCTTCTTTTTTTTAATCTTCTTCTTCGTATTATTATCTTTATTCTCTTTTTTTTTCTTCTTTTTTTTTCCTTTTTTTTCCCTATCGGTCAAATGCGTTGTTATCCTTGAAAGAAACTTGATCGCTCTGGCGGGAGGGAGGGAGGAAGGAAGGGAGGGAGGGAGGGAGGGAGGGAGGGAGGGAGGGAGAGAGGGGGGGGAGGGAGGGAGGGAGAGAGGGGGGGAGGGAGAGAGGGGGATGGAGGAAGGGAGGGGAGGGAAGGACGGAGGGGGGAGGGAGGGAAGGGAGAGATGGAGCGAGGAAGAGCAGGAGAGAGGGAGGGAGGTAGGGGGATAGAAGAAGGGAGGGGGGGAGGAAGAGCAGGGGGGAAGGGAGATGGAAGGTGGGAGGAGGAATTTAGAGAGGGAGGGAGGGAGGGAGGGAGGGAGGGAGGGAGGGAGGGAGGGAGGGGGTTGAAAGAAGGGGGGGACGGAGGAAGATCAAAGGGGGAGGGAGATGGAAGATGGGAGGAGGGAGGGGGGAGGAAGGGAAGGGAGGGAAGGAGTGGCAAGGGAGGGAGGGAAAAGGAAGGAACGAGAGGGTACACTTCCTTCTCGATTTATACACACGGAGGACATTTAAGGCCTTCTTTTAGTCATGCCTCTCTTCTCTAAGGCTTTTTTCGTTCGCACAGGGGAATTATATAACAGCTTCATCCTTCTCTCTCTCTCTCTCTCTCTCTCTCTCTCTCTCTCTCTCTCTCTCTCTTCCATTTTCATCACTCCTAATTATTAGTACTGGCATTACCATCACATATTTCATTCATGATAGCGATTACTTTTGTATCATAGAGTCATTTTTTAAAGATATCGTCTTTTTCTGTATTTATTTCTGATGCTCTTCTCGCCATTGCCGTATCATCCATCACACTTTTTTTAACTATATAATTTTCTAAATCTCTCAGTGACATCATCCTCAATCAGCAATTTATGAATAAAGTTTTCCTTTTCCAAAAGACCAATTTCCGCGCCAGCATTTCGTCTCACGGGAGAGGCATCCCTTCTTCACGCTCCTCGGTTCTTGCTTCATTCTCTTCTTCTTTTTTTTTAATCTTCTTCTTCGTATTATTATCTTTATTCTCTTTTTTTTCCCTTTTTTTTCTTTTTTTTCCCTATCGGTCAAATGCGTTGTTATCCTTGAAAGAAACTTGATCGCTCTGGCGGGAGGGAGGGAGGAAGGAAGGGAGGGAGGGGAGGGAGGGAGGGAGGGAGGGAGGGAGAGAGGGGGGGGAGGGAGGGAGGGAGAGAGGGGGGGAGGGAGAGAGGGGGATGGAGGAAGGGAGGGGAGGGAAGGACGGAGGGGGGAGGGAGGGAAGGGAGAGATGGAGCGAGGAAGAGCAGGAGAGAGGGAGGGAGGTAGGGGGATAGAAGAAGGGAGGGGGGGAGGAAGAGCAGGGGGGAAGGGAGATGGAAGGTGGGAGGAGGAATTTAGAGAGGGAGGGAGGGAGGGAGGGAGGGAGGGAGGGAGGGAGGGAGGGAGGGGGTTGAAAGAAGGGGGGGACGGAGGAAGATCAAAGGGGGAGGGAGATGGAAGATGGAGGAGGGAGGGGGGAGGAAGGGAAGGGAGGGAAGGAGTGGCAAGGGAGGGAGGGAAAAGGAAGGAACGAGAGGGTACACTTCCTTCTCGATTTATACACACGGAGGACATTTAAGGCCTTTTTTAGTCATGCCTCTCTTCTCTAAGGCTTTTTCGTTCGCACAGGGGAATTATATAACAGCTTCATCCTTCTCTCTCTCTCTCTCTCTCTCTCTCTCTCTCTCTCTCTCTCTCTCTCTTTCTCTTCCTCCTCCTCTTCTCTCCTCCTCCTCTTCCTCTTCTTCCTCCTCCTCTTTCTCTTCCTCCTCCTCTTTCTCTTCCTCTTCCTCTTTCTCTTCCTCCTCCTCTTTCTCTTCCTCTTCCTCTTTCTCTTCCTCCTCCTCTTTCTCTTCCTCTTCCTCTTTCTCTTCCTCCTCCTCTTTCTCTTCCTCTTCCTCTTTCTCTTCCTCCTTCTCTTTCTCTTCCTCTTCCTCTTTCTCGTCCTCCTCTTCCTCTTCCTCTTCCTCTTCCTCCTCCTCTTCTTCCTCTTCTTCTTCTTTCTCCTCTTCCTCCTCCTCTTCTTTCTCCTCTTTTTCTTCCTCTTCCTCTTTTCCTCTTTCTCTTCCTCTTCCACCTCTCCCTCTTCTTCCTCTTCCTCATCCTCCTCCCCTTCTTCCGCTTCTTTCTCCTCCTCCTCCTCTTCCTCTTCCTCCTCATCCTCCTCCTCTTCCTCCTCATCCTCCTCCTCTTCCTCTCTCTCCCCCTCTTCCTTCTCTTCCTCTCCCCCTTTCCCTTTCTCCATTTCTCTCTGCTATCCTCTTTCGCTCTTTACCCTTCCCTCCTTCCCCCTCCTTCCCCCTCCTTCCCACCCTCTCCCCCTCTCTCTACCGCAGGTGATAGCGCCAGTCACGCCCATCGTCGATCACGCCCACGCCGGTCACGCCCACCTCCCTCGACCGCGCCGCCGATTCCCTCCGTCAACGCCCGCGGCCTGCTCCGTGACCGGCTGCGTCGTGAGTCGAGGGGAGGGGGAGGGGAGGGAGAGAGGAAGGGGGAGTTTGAAGGGAGGGTACAGAAGGGAGGAAGGGGGAAGGGGAGGGTACAGAAAGGGGGGGGGAGGGGAGAGGGGGGAAGGAGAGAGAAGGGAGAGAAAGGGAGGGTAGAGAATGGGGGAGGGAGAGTGTAAAGAAGGGAGGGGGGAGGGTAGAGAAGAGGGAGGGGAAGTTTAGAGAAGGGGAGAGGGGAAGGAGAGAGAAGGGGAGAGGGGAACGAGAGAAGAGGGGAGGGAGAGTGTAAAGAAAGGAGGGAGGGGGAGGGTAGAGGAGAGGGGCAGAGGGGGAGGAAGACGGCTTGAGAAAACCCTTCCGTTGCGTCGGCAGAGCAATCACTCTCCATTTGAGGCTCTCGATCAGTTGCCGTTCTTGCAGTAACACGAGCGTCTATATTGTTTTTTTTTTCGATTAGGTATGGTCATTTATCTAAATCATTACTGTTGCCGCCCTTTTTTTCTTTTCTTTTTTTTAGTTAGGAGAGGTTTATCAAAGAATTGGCATCGAAAACCTGCCAGCTCGTCTTCAATGATCACTATTCAGTCAACTGCATATTTCCAAGGTGGTAAAGAATGAAAAAAATGTCTTGTCTTGTCTATCGTTGCTTGCTCCTCTTCTCTCTCTTTCGTTATTTTGTTTCTCGTGTCTGTTCTCTATTTTTTCCCGTTTCTTTCTAGACTCGTTTACCTGAATCTAACTATCCCTTTCTTCCTCATTCTGCCCACTATCTTCTTCCTTTTTCTCGGACTCTTCGTCCTGTACCTTCTCCTTTCTTTCTCCATCCCCCCCCCTTCCCTCTTCTCCTTCTCCTCCTCCTCCTTCTCCTTCTCCTTCTTCTTATCATTATTCTCCTCTCCCTCCTCCTTCCTCTCCTTCTCTTTCTCCTTTTCCCCTTCCAAGACTACTTCCTCTCCATCTCTTCTTCCTTTTTATTCAAGCTGAACCTTCCGCCTACCGCTGCCCTTAACCGGCCGACCTGCTTCCGAAACCTCCACTTCGAATCGCGAGCCGCCAATCACGACCGACGAACCCCAATCCCGCGCCACCGGATCGCCACCCGAGGAGACGCGACCGACCGCAGTGTCCCCACTTACGGCGCCCACTTACGGCGGGGTTAAATTCGGCGTCACGTCGGCTGCGCGGGAACCGAGGGAGATTGGTCCGGATTCGGTCGGACCGTTTGACGCTTTAGGGCCGTTTTTTTTTCTCATGGTTTGGTCCGGTTGAGGCCAAGTTCAGAAGCTCTAGAATGCTCTCCGTGTGTGTGAGAACATAACTGCACACACACACAAATAAACATTCTCTCTCTCTCTCTCTCTCTCTCTCTCTCTCTCTCTCTATATATATATATATATATATATATATATATATATATATATATATATATATATATACATATATATATACATATATATATATATATATATATATATATATATATATATATATATATATATATATATATATACATATATATAAACAGCCGAAGAAGGAATCGGGATCGCTTGGGCGGGCGTGCATCCGCGGACGGGCGCCGCTCTGCAGGCCCCTTACGTCAAAGGCGCCCTCCGACGCCGTGACGCAGCCGCAGGAAGCGCCGCGACGCGCGACTTCCGCCGCCGTCCCTCCGAAAGGCTCCTCCGGCAGACTCCCAGGTGAGTAATGGCGGCTTCCCCGCGACCAAGGAGGCGAGACAAAGGAGGGACGCGAGGCCGAGTGCCGGTGAATCAGACGCCGAG